AGACCTGGTAAAATCCTGATTTTCCCTGATCGTTGGTCAGTAAGTTTATAGTTAAATAATTTAAAGAGTCTGACGTTGAGTGGAATCTTTTAGTCTTTGATTAAAGTTCAGAAGAATGGATACGAATCTATTTATGTTAGTTACAGAGACAGAATACAATAAATAAATGAATAAAAGTTTCCTTAATAATAGATTTTAGGGACTCGTGGACAGGTGACCAGTCTGCCCCAGTGTTAATATTATATATAGAGCCAGACATTAACACCTATGGTCAAATTAGAGTCAACAATTAGCTTAAACCCATGCCTGAAGGAGGAGGACAGAGTACCCAGAAAAAACATGTAAACACTACACAGAAAGGTACCAGATTAGATTTAGACCAACGACCTTCTCGGAATAATATTAATAATACAATTTAAATTCAAATACGTTTACTCAGACGGTCATTTTAATCTGTCTAAGCTGTTCTTTTGACATTAAAAAAGACGATATAACCATGCATCACCAGCAGGATGTGCTGATTCACCATTTTATAGCTCAATTCATTACTCAAAGCAAACCGCAAAATAACATCTTGAGTGAGTTCGAGTTTATTACATTAATGATGAAGCCAAACGTGCTTAAATTGGGACATAAGTGTTTGTATGGTGTAGTTGGGTGTAGGCGACCTGTCGCTGCACTAATTACTTATTCCGGACGCTCCATTAAAACCTTATTGTTACCGTTTAAATATTTGGCTTCATGTGATTGAATAGTTCCTTATGATGAGCTGCTTGCTGTTGCTTTAACTGAAGAACATACTCACATATTGGCATACATACTAGTAAAACTAATCAGTCTTTATTTCATAGATATTGCAAAAAGCCTGCTCATATATGTTTGACATGCTCAGTATATTTGTTATGTGGCCGACTGAAAGAGACTGCCATATCTGTCCGCCGCTGGCATCAAGTGAAAAAAGTATAGTGGATATGAACTGCCTGGTATGGCTTTCCCTCCACAGTAAAAACAAAGCAAAACAATCAATCAAACAAAAAAACAAACAAAAAAACACTCCTGTGGCAGTAAGACTATGCTGTTTTACATTGCTGTTCATATATTTTACTTAATTTGCTCTTAGACACGAGGACTATAATGGTGACAAGGCTAAGAGTAATGGTTGAGCGTTTTGGTGGAATCACCACTGACCACATAGCTTAGAGGAAATAAGAAGCCATACTTTAAAGAATAATAGTGGAAATCATGTCGGTGGTGAAGACTGAAATGGAACAGACACATTATTTTACCATTCACAGAATAAACGTGCCTCATGTGCTTGGCAATCATCAATCAAATGGTCAAGGTGAGTGAAGAACTTTGTGAATGGACAGGATTTGATTGAATGAACACATCATGTAATTGCAGCAGTCCACCAGGAGGTGTCCTTTTAATGTGTGCGTTGATGTGTGCTTTGAAAGGCTCCCAGTAAATAGAGCCAATGTGGGTCAGTGATTTTCTTCCTCCTGGCAGAGAAAGCCCCTAAGCCCTGAACTAGAATCAGTTTGATCCCAGGGCAGGCTCAGTCAGCATAGACCTCGGAGGCCTGGTAAACTGAACATGACTCGGCTCTGTTGAGAGAAAGATCAAATATGGAACAAGAACTCTGATTGCGAAGGCATAAAAACAATCTCAGCATACTTTCCAGACTTCAAAACCATCAGGAAGAGCTCAGCGTGAGATTGAGCTTCAGATGGTCTCATCATTATTGTGATCATCAGTACAGTCAGCAACAAAAATGTCGTAAATGTCATTATTTTAGCCAGACATTTGACGATTTTAACATAGCATACTGTTGTACAAGTGCAAAATATTTTTGTGGATCAGAGTTCATCGTTATCTACCGAGAAGGATTTTAGATCCAACAGTGTGGGTCAAATCAAGGAAAATTGTATTTTTAAGGAATCTTGAAACTGTGAAACTTTAGACGGTATGCCTGTGTATAATTTTTATAGGACAGTGATTACAGAGTTCAGTGGGTACCTTGACACTGTAATGAGAACTGTATTCCCACCATACTTGCCCACGATCCCACAGAGACAGGCATCTGCTGGTCTTTAAAGGATCGTGGGAGATTCTCTAAACACTGTAACAGTAAAACAGCAGAAGTGATCATATGTGGTGCACATGAAGAACAGAGCCCATACAGAGGCCAGAGGGCGCATTGACAAAGGTACTGAAAGGCTCTGAAATGGGGTGGCATGCTCCAGTGTACTTCAAGTGGGTGTCCTGTGGTTACTCTGGCTTCCTACTAAAGACCAAAGACATACACGTAAGGCTAATTGGTGATTCTAAACTGGCTGTGGATGTGAGGTTCTTGAATTGTGTAATTAAAGTGTAACTTGCAGTCGGAAGCCTTTTAAGTGGTCAGTAAAACTATTCTGTTGTTGTGAACCTGCAGGCACAAATACCCACAATATAAGAAAACCTGTAAAAGCAAATTCAAAACAACCTGAACTGAGATTAAAACAGAGATCAAAAGAGAGTTTTAGAGGGATCATAAGATTATAAAAGCACCTTTTCTGCCATTTAAATGTCTTGGAAACGTCCAAATCCCACACACGCCACTGCTTTGAATGCACAGACTAGTTTGCAGTGAGTAAAATTTGTGCTTTTTTCCAAGCTCACATTTTTATTTATTTATTTTTGTGTTAATAATGCAGCGCCTGATGTCATCTGTAGATCAGATGACATCGGGCGCTAATCTCTTTTCTAATCAACACAGACGTTATTGAAATTTTTGGGCCGTCTTTAGGTCAAGTAGTTACGCGAAAGACCATCACTGTTCGACAGCCGGGGGGGTTTAAGATAAACACAGACTGTCAGAAATTAAATACAGGCTTTGGATTTTAAAGAAGCTCTTCCTTGTTTTATGTGTCACTGACTAATGAATTAAACCTTTGTGTGACTGTGCTTCATGCAAGGAATGAGTTTTGTGATATCTTAGGACCTGTCTTAAGACATGTCTTATCATATGGTTTTGAGGCATTTAAAAGAATGTCATATTTACCCAGAACATGGCTATAAAACAGTTACACAGTTGTATCTTAGGCTTCTTTTTAATGGAGGCATGAAGCACATTTTTGGTATTCCCCTTTGAAATCCATAAAAAAAAAAAACAATACCACCCATGCATCTCTGGAGTGGTAACAGAATTCGAATACAGCAATGATTAAATTCAATTTAGTGTACTATAGTACTGTGGACCGTGGTTCAGGGGGTTGGGAAGCTCATCTTGTAACTGGAAGGTTGCCGGTTCGATCCCCAGCACTGTTTGTCTTGGTCATTGTGTCCTCGGGCAAGACACTTCACCTACCACCTACTAGTGATGGCCAGAGGGGCCGATGGCGTGACATAGCAGCCTCGCTTCTGTCAGTCTGCCCCAGGCCAGCTATGCCTACCACCAGTGTGTGAGAGTGAATGAATAGTGGAGTTGTAAAGCGCTTTGAGGGTCTCGAAATACACTATGTCAATGCAATCCATTATTAATATAGCAGCCGTGGATGTGTTTCTGTGCTTTGGGTTTAATAATCCTTTACCTTACTGGGCTGTTTGAAAGCCAAATATGTGAATCACGGTGTATTTTATAAGACGTTCTTTTCAGTGCAAGCTCAGGTAAATTTAGCACTTAAATTAATATTTGCAGCTTCCCGAGGTTCGCAAAGAAGTGGCACATGCTTTATTGCTGTGCCAGCGGGGTTAATTTTCTTGAGTGCTGTATTATGCAAGTTCTTTCTTTGAAAATGTGACTCATTTTGTTCATAAGGCCCAAGTAAAATGGTGCTACTTAATGTTAGACCATTAACTAGAACACAACAAGGAAAACTGTAAACATTTCTCTCAAAAAAGTGTTTTGAATCAATGTTAATCACTTGAATCTTCATTCAGTTAAGTTTATTAAGAAAGATGAGTTGAGTTGATGAGGAGCTCAAGCTTTGTGTTAAAGTTATCTTTTGTTATTCCCAATATATGGTGTAAAAACTTACATTGCTGTGAGGAAACTCACATTACATGATGCTTGTTTTCATATAGCTCTTCTGTAGCAACTGTGCCACCAGATATTTTGAGTTAATGTTAACTGATCACTTAATAATGCATCCCTGTAAGCAATGCCTTTAAGAGCATTAAATGTTTTAGCTATTAGGTGTGTGATCTGTACTTTAACATTAACGAGGCCACAGTCATGCACAAACTGGTCACATTTGCAATTTTTTTATATTCTTACAATGCTGTAACATTTTTTTTTAAAATAATGTACGACATCTATTTGAATTTATTCTCTGTGTTAAAGTATGGCGGATTCTAGCAGGCGTAGCTGACACTAATGGACAGCAGCATTACTGTCACTGACAAAATGTCTTGTTTTCAAAAGGAACTCACAAACTACAGAAATCCAATTACAAATACAGAGTGTTATACAAGTACCAGAAGGTACTTACTGAACTCTACTGGAGTCAGAAATATTAGCACCAATATTCTGAAGGTCTTGCAAAGTTTTTCCCTTCAACCCTTACTTAGGATGAGACAAAGATCTGTGCGTGTGTTAAAAGAGGGCACTGGCTGTCAATGTTAAAATAATAAATGAAGGTTATGGAACAGTATAATAATAGTTCCCAGATCCTTTAGGCCAAATGTTTGGTCAAGTGAGTTAACAATCCTGACTTCCTCTCTTCAGATATGTTGTGAAACCTGTGTGTTTTTAATGGGTGAATTGTGCAAACTGTACAGTTCGTTTACATCCCACTGAAAGGCCAACATTAGTAGCTGCAGTTTATAGGACACATGTTTGCTGTCTTGGCTCTCAGGTATCGTGATGGTCCTACTGAAAACAACAAATGAACCATAACCCTTGTATTTAGCTTCTCCTTAGTTCCTCTCCAGCTATCTGAAGCCATCTGGACTAAGAACGCAGTAC